GATGGAAATTTTTTGGAAACAAATTGCCATGAACATAATTTACAGTAGAGGATTTCCCAGCCACCCCAAGTCCAGAGAGATGCATTTGTGGGATTTCTTGCATTATAAAACCATAGTCACATTTTCCTTCAGAAGTAACCTGGCTAGCAGAACTTTTAAATATTGGCAAACAAAAGACTGCACACAGCCAATACACTGGATAATTTCAATAAGTACACTCCTACAGAAGAATGCATATTCTAACAAAGGCTTTGAGATAACAAAACCTTTCACATATTTTCCATGGCCAGATGCTGCCCCCTCTTCATCCAACCACTGTAATACCACGGATAATGCAGCTTTTTATATAAAGCCAAAATGCACCTTAAGATAAATATATTCCATTTGTATTAAAACAAATGGCATGTAAAGGATTAGTTCACCTTTGATGGTTTAGAAACATAACTCTGCAGCGATTAATCCTGCTATGAATGCAAATCCATATGTACAAAGTCATGTTCCTTAAATCATTACTTACCTCTACATTCTGACTAAATGGCAATTGAGCCTTCATTTCAAAGCTGTTTTTCCGGTCGTAGACATGTGACCAGGCACTGTAGTTCAGTGTCTGGGATGAAACTACAAAGAGCAAAGCAGTCAAACAAATTCTCCTCCCTCCTGCCACCTCAGCACTGCTGTGAATAGGGGCATGAGGGACATGTGACTTGCTTATGTAATTTCTCTAAGCACCACAACAGGCTATCCATCCTAATTATATCAGGACAGCTAGAGATTAGACTGACTGGAAGTTTTATGGCAATACATTGCCTCAGCCATGGGAGGCCTGAAGGTATGCACATTTAAGGAGGAATATTTTTTTCCTCGCTGCACAATTATTTTAAAAAAAAACTGGGGCCCCCTTGGATGCACTAGAACGTTTACAACAAAAGGTGAACTATATCTTTAAAGTCATACCGTTTGTTTTCTTTAGAAAGCATCACACAGTTGAAAAGCCTGTCCCCTGCCAGAATGCTGTAGAGTTGCCCACTGTGTGGAAACAGTGGTCACACTTCAGAGGTTGGAACTAGAGCTTTCCATGGAGCAGAGAGGTCGACCGTTTTCAAAAAGATTGTGAGTGTTTAATTTTTAGTTTGGATCAGTTAAATATATTTCAGTTGCATCAAAACAAAATGTGTTTAAGGTCTTACAGTTTATTACCTTTAGAAAGCAGCCACAGCCTAAGTAGAGTTCTACAATCAACAATGAGACCACTGCTTCCACACGGATTGTAAAAACCCCTTTGTTTTTATCTGATTTAATCTGAAGCTCAATTTGACTTTAAAAAACGTTCTACCCCACCCCAAAAAGGTAGCACCCGGGCAGCAGGTATAGGGACAGAGACCTCCATGTTAAAGCCTTGATCATCAGGCTAGATTTTTAAGAGAAAAGCCTTGGTTTCACAATGTTTTTATTTAAAGCAAACGAAAAACAGTGGATTGGGTATGTCTCAATTGTGCAAACGGAGGGCAAGGATAGATCAGGCAAACACATTTTTTTATTATTTGCTTATAAAGCAGCACATTTGATGAACCTTTTTGGTTATTTCTTTTACATGCAATGAAAACTGATGCTTTTAAAACACACTGCATCTTCAATTTAAATGGCATTAACAAATGCTATTAATTCCATTTTGTAAAGTGAATTCTGTGTGGCCTTTGCGTCACTGGAACATAAATATTGACTGCTCCATTTTTTATATGCACATCTAAAAAGGCATAAAAGCAATCATGCACTGAGCAGCGCATATCAGTAACCCAGCAGCCAATAAGATTTTAGCTTACTCCATAGATTGATAAATAAAAAATAAATTAATAATTAGCTGCCATGGGTTACTGTACTTTGTATACTGTATTGTATATTGCTGTTTGTACCAAATGCTGAATAAAAAAATCACACAAGTTGCGATAAGGTTAAAAACATGAACATTTCTCTCTTCCGTTCCACCTTCAAAGGTTGGCATCTGTTATTCAGTATGTCTGCAGTGGTCCACAATATATTTGATAATACATCTAGATTGATTTAAATGGTTTAATGAGGTCTTGCTTTGAATGTTAATTACGACAGAGCACAAATGACTCACTTGTGTGACTTCTTCCAGTTTCCTCCACTTGGACTGGCCCCACAATCATACGCCTGGATGATGAATGTGTACTCCTTTTGCAGCTCACAGTCTATAGGTCCTTTCGCTCTGAGCCGACCTTCCCCTGATGTCCTGTTCAGTACAACAGCTTCGAAAGGTGTATCTGGGCCATGGATTTTAAATGCACAGATTTCCCCTGGAATTATAAAATATATTGATCATTCACTAAATTTGCAACAAAAATGCAAAAACATCACTTCATTGCAATGCTGCTTTTTACACATATGACAAAAAACATGTAAATGAGAGTTATGAGAACTCTGTCCACCCACATTTACATGCCAGCTATGACCATTCTCCCAACAATTCACTGTCCGACATAACTTCTCTGTAGAAGAAGAATATTGATTTTCCATTGGTTAAAGAGATTTTGCAATAAGCTACAATAACGAGGAATAGAAAAGACAAAAATGTCTGATGTTTAGTGTATTTTTAACCCTTAAATTGCACAACTATTGTAAAAGATGCAAAGGCTTTTAACATTACTTGCAATTATTGGGGTGTGTATAGATAACCTGATTTCTTATACATTACAGTGTATTAAAGAAGAACTCCAGGCAAAAGTGTTCTTAACCCTTGCAGTGGGGCTACCCCCACATTGCAAGGGTTAAGGGCTTGTCTTAGTCTAGCTCACCTGAACCGCCAAATTGGCTGCCTGCTTCTCTGGTCACTGAAGCCTGTCTTCTCCTATGCTGCAGCAATGGAATGTTGCTCATCATCCTCATATATGTACACTGTGTATAGAACATGATGATTTACAGGAGCTTAGACCACTGCAGTGGAGGGGGAGAGACGCTAGAAGGACCGGTCTAAGAGCAGGCCAGTTCTGAGTATAACCTTTTTTTAGCCTAGACAAAAATGAGCAGTTAACTCTTGCAGTGTTAGCAGGTTAGCCCCACTGCAAGGGTTAATAAAAATTATGCCTGGAGTTCTGCTTTATGTGACATTTACATGAATAAAGCATCATACCAGTGTGAGCAGAGAAGTTGTAACATACCTAATTCTACAAATACAACAGTCAGAATAATAAAAAAAAGAGCCATAAACAGAAAACAAATTAACCTAACAGCAAAAAATCAGTCACCTGATTTTTTTTTGAAAGGGGGTTACAATAGGTCTTCTTTGTGAAATCTTGTCTTCTTTTTGGCAATCAAAAAGACAAGATTTCATTATATGTTTTTGGTAAAACGCACACCTATTCATTTTGATGTATGCTGAAAGTGCACTAGAACAATTTTAACTACATAAGTATGTTGGTATAAAGCAAATTTGTACTGAGGTTTAAACATGTAAAAATGCTAGCAGAATATTAATACGGGCAACAAAAGTGTGCCTCCTGCTTATCCCTTCCATTATCATCTAGAACTGTGGTGTTTAACTTAATTAAAGAGTACAGTATTTCCTTTTCTAAGCCAGTGTGTACTCCCTGGTGTAGGGCTCCTTATCTTAAGTATTCCATAATTTGTGTTCATGTATAATTAGTTATCTCCTAGTTGCCTATAAATGTGCTCTGAAACATCTCTTATGTTTACATATTGCTAAAAATGTCTACTCAGATCTGTTTTATGCATTACATATATTGCTTCTAAAAACTCAAAACTTTTATAAGTGATTATCTTTATCAATACAAATATCTTGTGTGCGCTATTGTATTCCAGACACCCCAAAAACCGATGCACTCTATGATAGAAATGCTGACTTCAGCTAGGAAATAAATGCTTCTCACTCTTCGTATCCTTTGTTACTATTGGTCTATTATTGTGATGGGCAGCTCACTGACTAATACTGGGGCAGAAAAGCCACAGGCTGAAGCTGAACGCTGAAGCTGGAAAGTAAAGCACCCTGGACTGCAAAAGGGGTGCTCTAGAATGTACTGTATGTATGTGCAGACTCCTCTGAGTGCCACCTGACAATTAACATTGCGCCAGACTGGAACATTGTGGGGCCAATGTTACTATAGTTTGAGTAATAAAAAATTTAACTTAATAAGTATCCTTTTGCTATATTTTAGTTGCATTAGTTTTGACCATTATAGCAGAAAGGTAGAGCTACGAAATCTTATATTATTGTAACTAGGGATGCAGCAATATATCGGCCGCCGAAACATATCGGTGGAAATTGCACTATTGGCTAAATGCCATTTTCCTGCCGATACATCAGCGCATCCCTGCTTTCTCTCCTCCCCGCTGGGCGCAGCTCTGTGTCCCAGTGGTGAGGAGAGAAACTGTGACAGCCAGCCGAGTGCTGCAGGAGAGCACAGTGAGCGGCCGGCGTCTCTCCTCCCACACTACTCAGCCTCCTGTCACAGTCCGGCAAAGCGGTGTGTGGGCGGAGACAACACATGTTGTCATAGGAGGCTGAGCTCTCCTCCCTGCACCGCTCACTCATCCTCCTGTGACAGTGTGTCAGGCAGGAGAACCAAATGCTCAAGACTCAGCGATTAGTGATTGCAGAGTGTTTGTACATAATTGAGGACATGGTATGTTTACTATATCCTCAATTATGAATGAATGGGAAGTGATCTACATCACCTCTTGTTCATTCATAGTTGTGGTTATAGTAAACATACTCTGTCCTCATGTTATGAATGAACATGAGCACTCAGTATAGAGGATTCCTGTTCATTTATAACAGGGGCTGCAGAATAAGAGATTGAGGACTTTGTGTCCTCTATCTCTTTTTCTATTTCAAAAGGGAAATATCAGGGGTCTGTGTAGACCCCTAATATTTCCCTGAAGCTCCTTAAAGTAAAAAATCAAAAATATTTAATAAAAAATGAATACAGAAATAAAAATGAATATATAAAAATTAAAAAGTTTATAAAAAATAAATAAAAATATAAAAAAATTAAAACATCAAAATAATAAACATTATAGGTTTTGGCCTGACATTTTTTTTATTTTGGTTTTGTTTCTGTTCTGAAATTTCCATTCCGGTGCACCCCTAATTGTAACCAATAACCAGTTATAAACATGTCATGTAATAAAGCTGGAATAGCATTTTTCTGAAAATGTCATCCCCATGTAATTTTTTACCTTTTACTTGTTTCGGTTTCTTCTAAAACTGACTCCCACCAAGCTCTCTGGCTGCAGAGTAGCAATACAGGTCTGTGCTAAGGAGAAATTCAGGAAAACATGACCTGCTAGGTAGTACCCTAAGTATGGTTGGAAAGTGTAATATGAGATGGGGATGTAATGGTTGCCGTACTCTTTTAACTCAATGGAGGCTCTGCACACAGTTACCACAGACAGTCCCATGCTGCTCTGCACGGGCTGTCAGAAGGATAACTGACAAATTATTTCAGGTGCAAGATCTTGAAATTGCTGTCCAACCCTATCCACTTCACTAAAAGAAACATGCCGTTTGCAGAGCTGAGTAGGTAAAGCTGAAATTATAATTTATATGTGAATAAGTCAGAGCAGTGATTCACACGTTCTCCCTCCCCCCTATTCCTAATCTCCGCTATTTTTAAATACAGAGTTAGGGACAAATTAGATGGACAGCTTTTGCTGTCTGCTCTCCTTAGAAAACCAATGGGGATGGCATACTCATTTCATATGTGTATTCCGTGTAAAAGTTTTATTTGTAGAGCAAAAATGTATATAAATAGTAAACAAAGTATAAAAATGTTTTTATGTGCACGCATTTTGTTCAGAATTTTTGCTCACAGTCATGGTTAGGTCACCAGTTTATGACCTGATAATAGTTACCACATTATGGATGTTTCTCACACCAGTGGGGAAAATAAATATTTGTCATCAATTAAAAGCAACATGCCTGTGTGTTGTCGTGGTGCCATTTTTCGAATACAGCCTCTTATACTGCCAAGAAAAATTGTTTATTGTTATCTTTTATATGTAACATAATCTGCAGGTTAAATTTATACTCATTGCTAAATCTTTACAGTCGGCATTAAGCTATTTCATGAGTGATTTTCTCAACAGTAAACAGTGTCTTCTGCCAATTTGGCATGAAATGATCTCATAATGCATCAAGCCATGTACTGCACTTTTAGGATGTATGTAATAGTAGCTCTTTATATAGGCTGCATTTAGAAAAACAACCAGGCCTGCTGTACGACTATACGCTTCAAGAAGCATATACAGTGTAATATATATATATATATCGGTAGGGATGTTCAGATACCAGTATCTGTATCAGTGCCAATACTTGTAGCAGTTGCAGCTGTATCAGTAATTGTATCTGTGAGTACTTGGACAAGTATCAGTACTTGGTCTGGAAAAAACGGTATTGGTGCATCCCTAATTTATAATATATA